CAGCTATGGCTGGAGAGAAGCCTTTAGAATAAAATATGACAATCGAAATCAGAAATGCAAAATTTGCTTTCGCACAAATCATTCTACAAGTGAATGCTATGACAAAAATAAACGAAACTCAAACCCTTCCAAATCTATTAATTTCACTAATGCGAGAAGCTCAAATATTCAACACAATACTAACCCACAAAATTATAATCAACAAAACTCAGATAAACAATGTCGTTATTGTAAAAATAAAGGTCATACAATCGAGGAGTGTATAAAACTCAAATTTAATAATCAAAAAAGACAACAGAATATAAACTCGAATCAATCACCCTCTAATTTTCAAGTAAACTACCAAAATATTAATCAAGATCAAACTCAAAATACAAACTTTAATAATCAAAATCAACCAAACGTTCAAGATATTCCAAGTGAATATTTAATGACTTTTGCTCATTCAAATATTTTATCCTTAAACACGAATGATTTAACTTACGTATTATTCGAATCGCAAAACTCAAAATCACCGCAAAAAACACTCAAATTTCTTCTCAATACTGGAGCGTCAATTTCAATCGTAAAAGCATGCAGCCTTGAATCCTACAATATGCTCAACAACAAAAGTATCATTCTTAATGGCATTTCAAAGAATGCACCAATCCAAACTCTCGGAGAAACATTCATTACTCTCAAAATAAAAAGATTTGCTATATCCGCAACATTCCAATTAATCAATTTAGATACAATTATATCCTTTGATGGTATACTAGGACAAGATTTCTTACGCACACACAAGTGTAATATTAATTATCAAAACTCAACTACTTCGATCCAATTAATACCATTTCAAATTCCTTTATTCAATAAAACACCTCAACCTATAAATACGGTCGTTGCATGTCCAAGATCTGAAACAATTATAAAAGTTAAAATTAATTCTTCTGAAAATCTCCAAGAAGGAATTATATCATGAAAACATGTAATACTAACAATCATAAATAGTTCCAATGAATACAAACGAATTCCTATACCTGAACTAATTCTCGAACCAACTCCAGCTCAAACTCATATATTCTTAACCCATAACTCATCTCAAACTTCTAATAGAAAAAACTTACTCCAAGAAAACCTTAGACTCGATCACATAAATGCAGAGGAAAGAAACTCAATCGAAAATATATGTCACGATTTCCATGATATTTTTCTTTTACCTAATAATAAACTTACGCAAACATCTGCTGCTTTACATTCTATTGAAATAACCGACGAAATCCCTATTCATACAAACAGATAGAAGAAATGTTGAAACAAGAAATAATAAAACTTTCGACTAGCCCATGGTTCAGTCTCTTATAGGTTGTCTCAAAAAAACTTGACGCCTCAGGTCAACGCAAGTGGCGGATAGTCATAGACTGCAGAAAGCTTAATGAAAAAACCATCGGAGACGCATACCCGCTCCCAAACATTGAGGATATATTAGATCAGTTAGGTCACTCTCAATATTTTACAACCCTTGACCTAGCTAGCGGCTTTCATCCTTGAGGATGCACCAGAAATGTCTTTCAAAACTCCAGAAGGTTATTACGAATTTACTCGCATGCCTTTCGTATTGAAGAATGCTCCTTCAAGCTTTCAAAGAACAATGCAAAATGTTTTGATTGGTCTCACAAATAAACAGTGTTTTGTATACATGGATAACATTGTCATCTATGGCTCTTCATTACCTGATCATAATTCCAAACTTCTGAATTTTTTTCAAAGATTACGCACGAACAATCTTAAGCTCCAACCAGATGAATGCAAATTTTTGAAACAATCATGTATTTATCTTGAACATAAAATATCAAAAGACGGAGTCAGTCTAAACTCAGAAAAAATAAAAGCCATCTAGTCAATGCCTCCACTAAAAAACGTCAAACATATAAAAATTTTCTTAGGCATGATAGGTTACTACAGGAAATTCATAAAAGACTTTTCTACTCTAGCTAAACCACTGACAATACTACTAAAAAAAGATACGCCCTTTGAGTGGTCCGAAGACCAAGAAAAAGCCTTCCAGACATTAAAAGAAAAACTAATAAATAATCCTATCTTACAATATCTAACCTTGAACAAAGCAAAACAGAATTACTCCACTGCCGAAAAAGAACTTCTTGCTATCATAAATTCAGTCGAACACTTTAGACCTTACCTTTACGGATGAAAGTTCACAATTTACACTGACCATAGACCACTTCAATGGCTTTTTAACTGTCAGAATCCCTCATCAAAATTAGTTAGATGGCGACTAAGACTCAATAAGTATGAATATGACATAAAATACAAACTAGGACGGATAAACTCCAACGCAGATGGATTGTCAAGACTATTCCTCACCACAACTGATAACTTTAATTATCAAGATTTTATCAAGTTCCATTACGTCAATAAAGACGTTATCGAATACAAAGTAGAGAATAACGTCTGAAGAATTTGAATGATCCCTTAATCTTTTTTTGGTCTTAAGACCTCGACAAAAGCAATCAGTACTCCGATTACATATAGTTAGAATTTGATGTAACTAACCCAACGCCTACTATTAATGGAGTTTACCACTTGCAAGACCAAAATCAAAATTTCTATTTACTCTATTTAAACAATTTCCATCATGACAAACTTGAATATAAAAATATTTTCAATGCACTAAAAAATCTAAAGACTCAAATAAAGAAGAAATCATTTATTTTTGTTCCCTCTTGTAAGGATTTAAAGATTAAAATTGCCCTATTAAATGAAATGATTAGATTTATCTTTCCTGAAAATCAAATAAAAGTTTATAGCACTATTAGAATTACTCCAAAGACAAATGATGAAATAAAAAAGATTTTACATTCAGAAATATATGAAGTCTCGCCATTCCTGTTAACTCAACAAAACGAACTTTAAACCTACGAAACAACCCATGGAAATAACCCCGATAGACAACGATGAAAATCAGGACGTGAAAATAATAAAATTTATGAATATGTGTTTAAATTTGTACTTCCTCAATTTTCATAAAATTATTGATGGAAATTAGAAGTACAATTTCTGAATTATTATGAGATCAATATTTCCTCATAGAAAATGACAACTGTTTTGTTCATTTTTACATCAATTTACAGTACTTCTAATACTCACTAAAATTCAATAATATTTAAGGTATCACATGATGTAAATATGATACTGATTTTTATTGGACAATTGTTATCATCTAATGAATTCATTTTGTATATTGTTTTTAACGCATTATTTCTGTCACAAAATGAAATCATCGGTTGATGCAAAAATGATGGAAATATGAAGGTCATTCCGTTCACATGTTTTTAGAGTTTTAGAAATAAAAATGAGGTGTATGAACCTACTGGATTATCGATTCTATAGGATTATAAATCCTTCTACAACCTAGAGTTTCTTTAAAAAATCTATCCCATCTTGGGCACTACGATCCATCGTCACTTTTCGTATAAGTTCGTAAATTTCCGAACGTTTTTTATCATGGCGTTGTGATCTATTCCAAGAAGACGCTGTACTGCCATGTTTGAAGAGATTTTTGGCGCGAACAAACGTAACCAAAACGTTCCTAAATTTTAAAGTGATTTGTTTATATTGTGATTCATAACTTCGTGAATTTCTGAAATATCAGTGAAGAAATTAAATTAAATTATTGTGTTAGTGTTAGAATAAGCTGAATTATTGTTAATTATTTCTGAACTTTTGGATTTATATTTGAAAGCCTCTTATTACAATGATTCGCTATCGATCAACTAAAAAATCGTCTGATAATTCTTTTACCATCCGACGTAATTATTTAAAATTGCAAAAAAAAAACTAGTCCACTTGTGAGATGAGTCTAATAATCGTAAAAAAATTGAGTTAAGTATTTCAATGGGTGCTAATTCCAATCATCAGAATAGTAATTCTGTTCTGACTTGGAGGGGCCCAAGTCAGTTAGTCAGAAATATTCAAAAATTGTTAATGCCGGACTTGTCCACCGGCGCGTCAGTCAACTCACTGGACCAATCATCGGGAAGTATTTCCCTCATGGCCCAGAAGGCAACTCTACGGCCCTAGTGACGCCAACAAGCACGCGGTCGAGCACTTGTGGCGTCAGTTAGCTCCAGGCAAATCACGCGGTCATCTCTGTATAATTTTTCGCAGTCAAATCGCAGTTTTTTGCAGTCAGCTCACTCGTTGTACAATAAAGTACGGTCAAAGAGACTCAGACACCTCTCACTAAGATACGTGAATCATCAGATTACTCTCATCAGTGCAAGTGGTCCAGTATATTCAGTTTGTAGTGTCTTTGGGCGCGAAGCTGAACTGGCGTCGACGCCATAGTGCCTCACGGACATTCACCTATACATCGCTCCCCCGAATAACTCTGGTGTATACTGTGAATGTTGCTATTCACTGTTTTTTGAGACTATGTTATTTGGTGAAAAAATAACCATTGGACAACTCATAAGTGTACAAACAATTATGGTACAGTCAACTCAACTAGATGTAGTGATTATTAAATTCTATTGAGTACGTTAAGTGTTATTGTTGAATAAAAACTATAAAACCCAAGCAATCCAGTGTTAATAAACTATATTTTTGAACCTTCTAGCATCCAACCTTTTGTTCTTATTCTGCTCTTAATTCATACAGTCCACTAGTATTCAGTTTGCTCATTCGGCCGACTCGAAGTCAGAACAAATTCAAATATCTTTTCACAGCCAGTAAACTTTTTTTTCAACACAGAAGAGTTATCATCAGATGATGATAGTAATGATAACAATGATAATGAAATAACCGAATGTAATGAAAGGTATGATTTGGATCAATTCAAACAGAAATTTGCACAAGTTTTTGTTACTACAAATATTACTCATGTTCAAAGAGATCAAATTTTATCAGTTTTACATTCTCATCCTTGTTTCAATGTTGCATTGCTCCGCTCAATGAAAACACTCCTTAGGACACCCAGAAAACCTCTTTAAACTATACGTATGGGTGAAGGAGAATATTACCATGTAGGATTAATTGTAGAAATATTACTGAGATTGAATACTCTTCAGGATTTATTGGTTGATCATTTAATAATTGATATTCACACTGATGGTATGTCTGCTCATCACAGCACTAATACTCAAATATGGCCTATTCAATTTAGAATAATAAATATAGGGGATGATGAACCAGCAATAATTGGTGTGTATGTCAGTTTACGAAAACCATCTGATGCAATGGAATATTTAAAATATTTAATTGAAGAATTTAAATCTATCAGTCAGGCAGGAGGTATTTGTTAAAAAAAAAATTAATCCCAATATTTTTGCGAGGTTTAATTGCAAATGCACCTGCTCGAGCATTAGTTCTAAATCATCGAGGGCATAATGCTACAAATCCATGTTCCAAATGTACAATATCGGGACAATCATATCAAAGAACAATGTGTTTTTTAAGCACCATCAATGAGCCTCGTACCTATGGAGAATATTATTATGCTACAGATAAAAATCATCATTTGCCAACTGGAGAATCTCCTTTAAAACATTTAGGTATTAATATGATTAAATTCGTTCCCTTTAAATACATGCATCTCATATGCTTAGGAGTTATGAAGAAATTTCTGACCGCAGTAATTGACAAAAAGTGTAAGATGCCGAATTTATCAACTACTAACATAAAACATATATCAGATAGATTGTTAACAATTGAAGCTTGCTGTCCTTATGAGTCTTCACGCCATCCTAGGCCATTAGAGGACTGTCAACAATATAAAGCGACTGATTTCTGAACAGATATTATTATACACGGGACCAATTATTTTTCATGGAATGATAGATGACACTGCTTATAAACATTTTTTGTTAGTACATACTGCTTGCCGTGCACTATCAGCAGCCAATCCAGATGTAATGAGCTGGAACATGCTGAAATTGCATTTAAAGTTTATGTAGAATGTTGTTATGATATTCATAGACCTACGTTTCTCACTTACAACATACACGGGTTATTACATGTTATTGATGATATTAAAATATTTGGAAATTTAAATACATATTCTGCTTTCCCATATGAAAATAATATGACGTTTTTCAGAAAGTTTTTGAGAAAACCGGGAAAATTATTACAACAATTACATAATCGTATTTCTGAAAATCGGAACTTCTGCAATATAAAACAAAAAATTTCCAAGATAAAACCTCTTCATAAACATTCAAATGGACCAGTGGCATTAACTAATTGGAATTCAGCTTATCAACAATTCAAAGGATTACAATTCGAATATTTGAAAGTGATGATTCAAAATGATCGTGATGATTGCGTTATTCTAAATACAGGAGTTATCTGTCGCATTGTGAATATTATAAAAATTCATTCATTAAACGAATATAGGCTCATCGTACAAAAATATGATTCCATAAGTAATTTTTATAATATTTCTTATGGCCCAGAATCATATTTTTTTAGAACTTATATTTGCAGTAATCTATGTAAAGAAATAGAGGAAATATCACTCAATGATTTATATGCCAAAGGTTTCAGAATGCCTTACCGGAATAATGGAATAAATACAAAATGAAACATATGTTGTAATGACGTTACTTTCTAATCATTAATATTGTTATCTATACAGTCATGTATCCACCTACATCTCATCAACATGAGTATCAAACACCACCAGCATCAAATATTCCATCTTCAGCAGAATCTTTTCATTCTGGACCAGAACCAGCACCAAACAATGCCAAACAATACCTTATCCTTCATCATCATTTGGGCCTAGACCAAGTGCACCAGTAGCATTTCCAATAAATTATTCTGGCTCTTTATTGCTAGCACCAAGTCATTCATCATCAATTGTGGACTTGGGATCATCACCAACGCCTGGACTAACTTCACCAGTAACATCTCCAACACTTTATCCTAGCTCTTCAATACCGGCACCAAATCATTCACCTTCTGTCGTCAACCTAGCACTACCATCAACAACCTGTTTAGTCCAACATTCTAGCTCAATACCACAATCAAGATCATCGCCTATGACGCACTCTAAGCCATCAACAAGTCATCAACAGCCTGATAATCGAAATAGAACTCAACAGAACCCAATCGATTTAATTCCAATAATTCTCTAAAAGGTCGATCAATTGGTGTAAGTAGAAAATGATTCGGAGTAATATTTAGAAAAACGTTGAGATCGGTATTAATAATAATATTACATCATTACAGATTAGACATAGCAGCATTACGAAGATAAGCCGATCAATCAGATACAGAGGAAAAAGAATCATTCGAGCCACTGATAGGGTTTCCACTGAGCAATTTGGAACAGTTCGATATATTCGAGAACAATCAATCTCAAATGAAATTGTTGATATGTGTGACATAATCTAATAATTATTCGATATCTGGAATATCTTTGTAATGCTGTTATGATTTTTGTAGCAACGACACCTCGAATTTGTTGGTGGACAAAATTTAAGAGATGCCCTTCATCGATGTCTAACAATTTGGCTGAAAATTTCACGTGAACCGGCGACGATGATGATGATGATGAATACATGCAGTTTTATAATTCTCAATGTTATCATTTATATAATTATATTATTATCATTTTCAATTATTATTATAATGTTTTGTAATGAATAAGTTGAAAATTTTATAATAAAGTTTATAATTGACAACAGAATATTTTATGTTACAATTTCAATTGAAATGTCCGTACACAAATATATATATATATATATATTGTGACGTTATTTTTCGATAACGTCCCACTGTCAGCTCTAGAATTGTTTTATTAAATATTTAAGGCTGATAATAGCCCATTTAGAGTATTCTAGTAATGATTTATAAAGTAAAGCTATTTGCTTAAAGCTCATTTAAGCAGTTACCTTGACCTCTATAGTCCAATCATGCCTATTTTCACATGTTTTATTCATCATAATTGTTTTCTGTACGCCAAAATACTCAATGGCTTAATTATATTATTGTTTCATTTAAATTTATAAGTCATAAGAGTTATTTTCAATTGATCTTTGTATATTTTTCTTATTTATCTTATTTGTAGAGAGTAATTATTATTTATCAAGTTATTAATTATTATTTCATGCAAACCGAGGCTAAGGGATTTATTTAGTAATTAAAATTAGTTTGTAATCTCAATAACACAAAAAGAAGCAGAGTTAAAATCAACAAGTAAAGTTATCAAGAAATATGGACCGTTGTGAGGAGAGTTGGGAGGCTGTAGTGGAGAAGAGGACCAAAAGCAACGTGTTACCCTGCAGTTTCCCATGCTGGGAGACGTTCCAGCCCTAAAGGTTGTAGTCACAGGGCTGTCGCCAGTGAAATGGGACTCCAAGGAGAAGATGGAAGTGTGGATGTGATCTTAGGATTAAGTTTTGAGCCTAGGATTAAGTTGTCGAGTCTAGAAGATAAGTTTTTGAGTTTAGAATTAAGTTTTGGGTGCACCTTAGAATTAAGTGACCCCTCCACATGAAAATCTGGGAGAAGTCACGTGAAGATAACCACCAATGAGAAATGTGCCTTGATAATTTGAAAAGAATTAGACCCTGGAAGGGGAAAGGAGAACAAAGATTAAGAATTTTGGATTGAGATTTTGGCAGGAGAGTGGAGAGATAGCCAAGCTCAGAGTCTGTCGAGTGCAAGCCACCGGAGAAGGCAGTCAAGATCAAGCCAGGCCTGGAGTTTGAGAAGATGAAGATCCAGTAAAGGTTCCGTCAGCAAGCTAGAACATAGGAGAAGTACAGCTCCTGTGAAAGGAGGTCCAGAACAACTAGGACCAGGTTCAGTAAAACTATTAACATCCAGAGCTCTGCAGAATTTGTGAGTTATTGAGAATGGATTTGTAATGGGTTAAGAGGTAAATTTGTAGTTAGTTAAAATTACTTTGTTAAATAAAAGAAAATCCGTGAGGCTTGGTTTGCTCTCGTGCTCGTTAGTTTAAGCTTAATTGCATATTTTGATAAAGAAGATATGATTTAGTTTAATTGATTTGATTTGAAGATTTAGTTATTGTGGAAAAGTAAAATATGGGGTTGTGAGTTTAGAATCTTAAGTTGCGATTTATTGAGAAACATTTTGTTGAGAAATATTCTTAGGTTAGTAAGTAAGGTTTATTTGAGCTCCAGAATTGTAACCAGTTAGAATTTTAGTTGATTCATTTTGAAGATTGTGATAGCGTAACTGATTATTTGATATAGAAATTTGTGATGATGTTTGGAGTTCTAGTAATTGTTAAGAAAACCTAATTGAGAAAAATTATTATAATAAATTTGAGAGTTAAAAGAATATGTTGAACTTGTTAGTTTATTTCTGGTAGTTTGGGGACCTTCTACCCAGTCCGTTAGTTAGTTTATTTCATTTGGTCTCTTATTTTGATTATTTCTTTTGTTTAATTTTATTTTGCTGGCCGGACACGATCCCTCTCCACAACCTACACAACTGAGGGCCAGGACATGCCCTGTTCAGGAGGATCCTGAATTTTGTAGAGCCATCTTAGTTAAGTTAGATATAAGTTTGAGATTTAGTTTTAAGTATTGAGATTTTGATATAAGTTTGAGATTTTGAGATATTGTGTGGATTTTGAGTTAGTTAGTAAGTTGAGATATTGAGTTTAGATTTAAGTTTGAATTAGTTGTAAGTTATACCAGTTTAGTTGTTCTGGTGAATTCAAATAACTTGGCGCCCTAGGTAAAGTAGTATTAGTCTCCCAGGGATGGTTCTACTCAGGATTCCCACCTGAAGGAAGGTGCGTTATAGAGTATACCCTCTTATAAGGGTAGAAAAATAACGTTACAATATATAGGTCCAGGTATATAGGGACAGGTATTTTATGATCCTCCTGTGAGGCAAATATGATGGAAAGCGATGACTCATGCTGTGACCTGAAATTGTTGTCAATTTCCTATGCAAGTAAACCCAAATATCGTGATTCAAAATTTAAAGACATTTCAATTACTAATTTTCATAAAAAGTAATGAATCACAATCAACATTCCGTTGCTTATTTTTGTTGAATCAAGTACTTTCATAAAAATTAGTCTCATATGCCGGATCATGAGAAATGTAATATTGATGCATACGATGATTGTCATTTTAGCAAATTTGCCGTAAATATGAAGTATACTTATCTATCGAGGTAACCACCACATCAGATATGCCTTTTGAAAGACTCGCAATTGACATAGTAAGACCTCTTCCTCTTACTGAATCTAGCGATAAATTTATTCTAACAGCACAGGATGACCTGACTAAATACTCTTTTGGATACCCCATCCCAAATCACGAAGCACGGACAGTAGCAAAGGTCCTAACAAATATTTTTACGCTCTTTGGTATACCTAAAACCTTCTTAACTGACCGAGGGACTGATTTTACCTCCAACTTAATTAAAGAATCAAGCAATCTTTTCAAGAATAAGCATCTAATAACTACACCCTGTCATCCTCAGACTAATGGAGCACTTGAACGCTCTCACCTCACTTTGAAAGATTATTTAAAACATTATATAAAAAACGACCGATCTGATTGGGACGACTATATAACTTTTGCTATGTTTAGCTACAACACTAGTATCCATAAATCAACTAATTTCACCCATACGAACTGTTATTCGGTCGTAAAGCTTATTTGCCATCGTCAATTACTCGAGAACCAAAATTCCATTACATATATGATAATTATGTTCGTTCCTTACAACATAAGTTGAATACTTCCTCCAAGTTAGCCCGAGATCACATTCTAGTATCAAAAGAGAAAAGCAAAGAAA